TGTTGGCGTCGTCCTCCATGTGACTCGGGGAGGGCTCACCTTCCCCTGTAGACGAACTTCATGGGCTCCACCGCCAAAGCCGTGGCCACGATGTCGTCGGCGTTGTGCCGGCGCCCGCTGACCATGATGAGGCCGTCCATCTTGCCCGTGATGAAAACGACGATGAGCTGACCTCGAAGGTGTTCTTGGTCATGCCGGTGAGGCCGTAGTAGGACGTGCCGGTGGCGATGGCGCACACGCACAACTCGCCAATCTCGTCCGTCTGACAGAGCTGAGGGACGCCTTCGGGCTTCACCACGCACACCAGCCCTGGATGAGCGCCGCGCACCCGAGTCACAAAAAAAAACGACGATGAGCTGACCTCGAAGGTGTTCTTGGTCATGCCGGTGAGGCCGTAGTAGGACGTGCCGGTGGCGATGGCGCACACGCACAACTCGCCAATCTCGTCCGTCTGACAGAGCTGAGGGACGCCTTCGGGCTTCACCACGCACACCAGCCCTGGATGAGCGCCGCGCACCCGAGTCACAACGCGATTTAAGTTTCGTGCCGAAGGGACGCAATTTATTTTGTGTACAGCCAATGAGAACGATTTAAAATAAATAACTTGCAACGTGTATGCGAGCTATGAAAAGGAGTTAATTGCATATCTGACATTTCAATTTTATTGGACATAATTTTATGGTACATTTCAATTTTATGGAATACAATCTATTGAATTAGTCGTTAATGACTTGATGAAATCAATTTCACAAAATGTTACTGGCGATGGATTTTTTTTTTTTTTTCGAATATGGTTTATTTTGATGTGCTATGAAACAAATTGATCAATTATTGTGGTCAACTATTTTTGATTTTATTTATTTATTTATTTTTTCATCCGTGATGGCAGCTTACATATAGCGAGCCAGACAGACAGACCCTCGGGAGGCAAAACTGTGCATTCGTTGGCAACTAATGACTTGAGAAAACTGTACTAGCGAGCACGGGTTAACATGAAGATGTTTTTAAAAAAAAGAATAAAAACCTAAGAAACGCACCTCCCGGCATCACCGTGCCCACGTCTTGCACGGTGAGGACGGAGAGACGCTCCTCCGTGTCCACGCGGACCACTCCGTAACTGAGGCCCTGCATGGACAGCACGCCGCGACCTGGTGGCTGACTGCTGTCCTCCGCTGGCCTGTAAACACACACACACACACACACATATATACACACACACGAAATGCATACGTGTGCAGCCTTTTGCATATGGACCGTACATGTGCGCGTGCGTACCTCCTGATGGCGACCGTCAGAGCCTCGGGCGAGCTGGCGCAGGGACAGATGACCTCCGCTCGCAGGCCTTTGGTCTGAAAGACGTTGAGGAACGCGTCGCACGATGAGATGGACCCTGAGAGGAATGAGGAGAATGCGCTGGGGTTCAACCAACACCTGCACAGGTGACCTTTCTGTCAATTTTTGAATGTCCAACCTTTTGCTGTTCTGTGACAAGAACGTGAAAGGCCAAAATTCACATTAGAATCTAATCTAATATATATTCACCGCAGTAAATTTTGAAGTTGTGTGCTGATCACACCTGAAAGAACACCAACGCAAGAAGAGCCGGACTGAAACTCATAAAACTCCCAAGACTCCATTAAGCCGAGAAGTGGCTGTCATTAAAACGAGGAATAAATCAAGCCCTTTTATGACACTTTGAATGATATAAACGGGAATTACAAGGGTTGGAACCGTCGGCCACGAGAAGCATGCGCAGGGAGCTCAGGTTGATGTCCTTCTGGTCCTTGTGGGCCACCAGAGCCCAGTGCATGTCCCTGGACTTCACACAGGACACTTTGGCTGCAGTGACACACACACACACACACACACACACACACACACACACACACACACACATACAAGCACACACGTCATGTATTTGACGGACAGGTGAAGTCGGCGCTCCGAGTGACGTGTGCAGTCCGTTTTCCAGCTCACCTTTGTACTGGCACACTTTCTGGATCCACGATAGAGGGTTGACCTTCATCAGCGAGTAAGGCACGCTGATCACGTGCATCATGTTCATCACGCTCTGCACGCACACACACACACACACGCACACGCATGCTGCACATTAGCGCCGTGTTGTCAGAGGAGACATCATCTTGATTTACGAGTGGCCCAACCGACTTGTAAAACTGATACATGAAAGAAAAAGAACATGAAATATTCTCAGTTTAAGGCCTTTGAGTTTTGACTGATTGACTGATTGTGACAATAGAAGCACACGAAACCGCCCCAAGAAAAGGGAGACTTGCTCCTTTTAACCAGAAAAAAAAAATGTTTCTAGCTTTTTCAGTTCTTTAGTTTGCAGTAGAATAATGGGTACGTTTCAACAAAAATGACCAGTTTCTGACAAAAAAAGCAGAGAGTGAGCATTTTGTGAAAAGAAACACGTTAAAAAAAAGGGAGACTTTGATATTTTCTTTCGGATTTCCTTGCTTTTGTGATGACTCAAATGACTCAAATGATTAAAAAAAAAAAAAAATGTAAGTTATCACCGTCAGGATGCCGTGCCACAATCCCACGTCCTTCTTGAAGTCCAGAACGTTGACGATGGTCTCGGCTGCGGGAGGAGAGACGTGTTCGGAAGGTTACTATGCAGCCATCGGAGGCGAAGGGTGGGGGTGGGAGGGTGAGTGCTCTGTGCGCATTTTGTGTCTGTACACCGCTCACAAAAAGGGACCTTGAAACCGATGAATAGTTAGTTGTATTCGTCTTACCCTCAGTGTAGCAGCAGGACTGAGTGAGGGCCTGACAGTGCGTGAGCAGAGCGATCCTGGTCACCGTGACGCCCAGCACGCTGCCGTCTTTGCACGTTTTATACTGGAAAAAGGTACAACGTGAACTCATTCAGTACCAGCCAATTCTGGACCAAGTCTGAAAAGACGTTTAAAAACGTCTTTGGGAGTGAATGAGTTCATGACCGTGCACACGGATGAAACAGTTCTCCCAAATGATGGCCGAACAAATGTTTTTTTTTTTTTTTTTTGCTTATGTAAATTGTGATTTTCCTTTCGTGCACCTCGATATAAGCCGTGTCGTTGTTTGCGTCCTTGATGTGAGGGAACCAATCTCTGGGCGGCTTGGACAGGTGCTTGGACTCGGTGACGAACCACAGCAGTTTGGGCCAACCTGCGCACGCGGAAAAGTGGCAACGGGACTCAAAGTTTGGACGGACACGCGCGTCAATAAATCATACCAGAGGACAGACGTTAAAATGGACTCACCTTTGAATTGTGGAATCTCCCCCGTGGCGCTCTTGGGGAGCCCCTTATGGCAAGCGTCACTGGTCAGCGCCACGGTGACGCCGCAGCTTCCCAGCAGAAAACCGATCTGCTGACTTCCCGCATCCTATGCGAGAGCATGCAGAAGAAGGTTTTATGTGAAACTGATGCTGTCATGAACGTGTCATGATCTCACATATCACAATGTGCTCGCTGCCAGTAAGCAGGCTGACACATTTGGAGCGACAGGTACGTTTTAAAGGCTGCAAAAGAACAATTTCCCGCTCCGACCGGAGGCCGGTGTGCCTCTCGTTGATAAAATGCCAAGTCGGCGCCAGCTATTTGTCCATCTGTGGCACACGTGTGACTTCACGCAGGTGGGAAGACGCTGTCGTCACTCTGTAACCACGGCGACGCAGGCCCGCAGTGGGAGGGGCTTTCAAAGAGGCTGTTTCTGACAGCAATGAGTCTCAAAGGCCGTACGTACGCCGCCGCTAGCGGTGCATCAAATAGATATTTTTGTGCGTTACCTTGCGGCTGAGGGGCACCTCGATGGGAACCGGGACCACCTCAGCCAGCAGGCAGCCGTAGAACGCCACCACGAAGGCCACCGGGTCGTTGTTGGGGAACACCAGCGCCACCTGCGGGTGAGAGCGTCGCAAAAAATGCAAATGTGATTCCTAAAAAGTATATGCAGCTCACGGGCGCCATTTTTTTCAGGGGATTAGGAAAAAACAACCCCAAAAATTGCCCGAAAACTGGCCAGCGAGTGTATTTTCCAAACAGGAGGTTGAAAGAAAGAAATGAGACGTGCCCCTCACCCTGTCTCCGGGCCGCACCATGGGCTCCTGCTTGCTGCCCAACTTGTGGAGGATGTTGTAAGCTAGCTTGATGCTGCGCGACCACAGCTTCCCTGCATGCACACGTACGCACATCGTGAGGCTTGAAAGATTGAAATGGGGGCGGGGGGGTCATGCCCGCCTGCCCACCTACCGTAGGTGAGCACGTAGAGAGGCTTGCCCGCCGTGTCCAGACTGGTAAGGCAGGGGGCTTTCGGGGAGATGGTGCCCCAGCGTTGGAGGGCGGCCTCCAGCGAAGGCGGCCAGTTGGTGACCACCCCCAGGGCGTCGCCTCGCACCGGCATCATCTCCGCCCCCTCAGGACGAGGCTGATTGGGGTCCGGCTGTTGGACTGGACACAAGGAGACAATTGTATGTTTGTCAGATTTGTCAGATTTTCCTTCTTCAAAATATTTTCACCACTCATGCGGCAACACTTTGTGTCACCGATTTGGAATTTGTGACTTCTCACCTTCCAGAAGTTCGTCAAAGTCATCGACGAAGAACTCGCGAAGTGGCGGCCGGCGAGGTTGCTTGAGTGTGTTGACAAGCTGCTGGATCTTGGCCGACACGCGACTGCTGACCGGAACGCCTGCCAAGGCAAAAACAAAAATGTGATGAGAGTCACCGTGTCACACTGTTGGCCTCACGTCAACCTGCCACCGTCGTGGATAAGACGACTTTGTACGCAAGCCGGAGAGTCGGAGGCTGAGTGCAGAGAAAATATTGCTGCGGTACCCTCGAGCAAGGCACCAAACAGGTGCCATTCTTTGGGCTGAAATCTTTGTCTTAAAATACAAGTAAAAATCAGAGATACAAATGCGCTTCAGACCCCCACCACTAGATGGCGCCATCATACTTCACAACAAAATCAGTTGGTGGCGCTCATACACTATCAAGTTGGTGTGCCAACTGCTACTAAAGCCCACAGAAGAAGAAGCAGCTGCCGCTTGAGTCAAACTATCAAGGGCGACGCCCTTTTATGTGAGTAAGGGAAGAGGTGTCGCTTTTGCGCGGATCCCCGTTGACGCCAAAAATCGAAATAAAAATCGAAAAGCTTAAAAAAAAATGTAGCATTTGTGTATGGCGCTCTTACCGTCGCCGGTTTCCATGCGCTCTGCGTTGCCGTACTTCTGCGTGTTGCGGGCGATGGTGCCCATGTTGGACATGGGATGGCGCTCCGTGTGGGAGTGAGGCGAGTCTGACGAGTAGCCAGACACGTCCGGCGGGCCCGAGTGGTTTTCTGGAAGGGGCAGAATGACGGAAGCGGCATTTATTTTTGCGGTTTGCACAGGTGTGAGGTTTTAGGTGAGGGTCATATCGGCTAGCTGAGGGAAGGAGGAAGTACGGGGGTACCGTCAGACTCCAGCGGCGGCGGCCACAGCATGTCGGAGCCAAACTCGCAGGACCGCCGCAAAGATCCTCCGTTCTCAGCGACGCTCAGCGCTCCTTTCCTCTTCAGAGATAGGTGGCCGATGCCTGCGCGTGCAAACGCAAACCCATGACTCACATGCGTTCATCGTTAGCATCAAGCTAGCAGACTTGGGTGCGATTGTGTCACCGTGGTGCGAGGGCGCGAGGTGGCTCTGCTGCAGGTGCCCCGGTCCTCCGTGCGTGTGCCCCAGGTGGGCCAGATGCGAGATGTGCGCATGCGCCAGCGAGTCGGCCAGACGCCCAGCATTGCCGCTCCCGCCGCTCTGCGTGGATGAAGACGAGGAGGAGGTGGAGCCCAGGTGGGCGGGGCCGAGCTGGGACGGCCGGCCCATCCAGTGCTCCATGCCCGACATGTCGTCGCAAGGGCCCGCCTCCTCCTCCGAACCCGACGAGGAGTCTGAGCACAAGGGCGACAGGCCTAGGGAGGGTCAGTCACGTGTTGTGTGAGTGTGCGGGGCGGCGCCGTGCGGCGTGCGCTCACCTGGCGGCGTGTACGCGTCCATGGAGGTCTGCACGACCAGGGAGCGACGTTTGGACGGCATGGGCACCGCCACCTTCCTTTCCACGTGGCGCGCCAGCATTGCTTGGACCGCCTCTGTGTGAACGTCTGGGACAGAGAGAGGCATCCGTCAGTCACGTGACATTAATTCCAAGTATGTCCACTTCTACGACTTTCTGCGACTAGCGCAGAAATTATGGCGAATACCTCCGTCGTAATGTTTAAATCTCGATTTAAGGCTTATTTTTACAGTCACGCATTTGATTGAATAGCACCGAGTTTGCAAAATAGTCTCTTGCCAGTCCTGGCCCCCCTTGACATCTGGATTTTGGGCTGTTTTACTGCCTCTTCTCCACTGTAGGATTCTGCCGAACGCAACAAGGGAGCAGCAGACGAAATGAAAGTTCCAAGGAGTAAAACTGAATTAGAACTGTTTCATCCGAATTTGAAGTTGTTTTTTGAGCAGATTTTCGATCAGCGATATCACCAGAGACCAATTTTTCTTGACACAAATAACAGCGAGTTTTTTGTTTTTTTTTACCTGAGCGGTAGCGTTCATCTCTGGTGCCCGATGTTCGCCGGCGATGGAAGCGGGCGGCAGAGGGCGGGCCCAAAGGGACCCGGTGCGACATTGGACCTTCCATCCCTGTGGAGAGCAGCACGCAAACACACACACACACACACACACACACACACACACACACGTGCACGTCCAAACACGCGCACGTGCAAGCACACACCCACACAAACACCGAAATTAACGCACACAAACCACCATGTGTACAAACACACATTCAGACACACAGACATTTGTGCGTACACAACCGCACAAAAGTTTCACAACAGAAGAGCACACGGCAAAAAAAAAAAAAAAAAGGGAAAACATGAAGATGATTTATCAGAAAAATTGTCATTTTTCTGCACTGATCAAATGAAATAAGTGATCAAGAAAAAAAAAAGCAATAAAACACCTCAAAAGAAACGTGATCAATCAAATAAAAGGTGATTGGCTGTTTGCATCAAGAGCAGACCCCGCCGTGCGCGTGGGCGCGCACGTAAAGGGAGAGCAGGCCCAAGCTGAGCTCCAGGGAGCATTCGCCTACGTCAGCTAACGGCGGCGGCTAAACGGCTAATCAAGCGCTGTCGTATTTTGCCGTGATTGCAAATTGATTGGGGCCGCATTTCTTTTGGGGTTTCTTTTTTTTTCCCTTTTACTTTAGCAGGGTGAGGGGGTTCAGAGGTGGCTAAATTACCTCCAGCATGTGGAACAAACGCTCTGATCAGCTTGGACCTCTTCTTCTCATAACCCTTCTGAGTGATGTCGCCTGCAAACACACACACACACAAAACGTCTCGGCCAATCAGTGACACGCACCGGGGTTCAAAGGTGATAAATTAAAATGAGATGATGATGAAAAATGGATGTGGATGGATGAGCTCGGGGAGGACTTTGTACTCGAAGGTCCAAACCGAGGACAACTGGAGGGGCGTTGGGCCTTGCCGCAAGTTGCCATGGGAACATGGTCCCGGCCACTCGGCGAGCCCTCGGGTGCAACAAGCAGGACTAACACAGATAATTCCGCCGCTCGTACTCCATTAAACGCACCGCTTGACTAATTATTGATCCGGAGACTCCACAACAACACAGAACCTCGGTGGCGCCGCTAATAAACTATGCAAGAGGAGGAAGAGCGGGAGGAAGGACCAAGAGGAGGAGTTGCGAGACGGGCGTGGAGGAAAAAGGAGGAGTGAAAGCGCATGAGGAGCAAAAGGAGGAGGAAGGGTCGGGAGGATGAGAAAGGGGAGGGGGCAGGGAAGAGGAGGAGCATGAGGAGGGCGGGGGAGGAGGTGGAGCATCAGTCATCCCGTGCGAGTCCACATCGTGTCAATAACAGGAGCTCCATGATTGGACTCCACAAACCAGCCAATGACAGTGCGTCGGCATCCACGCATCTCTCACGTGCGTGCGCGTGTGTGTGTGTCTCTGATCAACTTCAATAGCAGCCTTATTTTTTTTTTTCACACACACACATTCACATGCACACACGCACACACACACACCGAGCGGGTCCAAAGGGAGAAGACATCTTCCACCGACATCGCAGTGGAACAGGGAGGGAGTTGCCTAGCAACGCTTCTCCGGGAGAAGGCCGCAGCCCAGGCGGCCATCTTGGATGTGGAGCGTCAGATCTGAGTAGTGGGCTTATCAGACCTGGTAGGCGCTGCGTGTTCACATACGTGTGCATCTGCAACCTCCGTGTGTGTGTGTGTGTGTGTGTGTGTGTGTGTGTGTGTGTGTGTGTGAGTGTGTGTGTGCATGTCAAGCAGCGCCGCTCCCTCATTGCGGTCTGGCAGTTGAGCTGAGAGGCGATCGATGGCACAGGAGTTTTTCTTCGAGATGAGGTGTATGATCCACTGTTTGTCCTTGTTTAGGGACACACGTCAGCCACAGTCTAGCCCAGCTGACTTTGGCTGAGAGGTGGGGAACACCTTGAACTGGTCGCCACTCAACATCAGGTCATGTCGACAAACAACGGACTGGTCGCTCGTCAACATCAGAGCACAACTAGGAAAAACAAAGTGATTACAAAAAAAAAAAAGAAGCCAGGACGGACGCTGCATCTTCAGCTTTATCTTCCATCTTGTTTCTCTTTGTTTCCCCGCTCACATCTGCATCGACATCCTGTTTTATTTGATCTCCTTTTTCTCATCACATCACACACACACACACACACACACGTGCGGACCGGCTCCATGGTAACAAGACACACACATACACACACACACACACATACACACACACAAGCATGCGTCATGCACTGGGACCTTGGGCTGTCACGCTCACATGTTGGGACCCGTGTGGTCTGAAGAGCGTCTGCTAGCTGATTAGCCCGCGCGCGCTCGCGCACGCACATACACACACGCGCGCAAAGCTAGATAAGCGTCAGCAGAAAAACAAAGTAGGCCTGGCTGGTGATTCAATGGGTCAAGACGTCAAGAAGTGTAAAAATAGCCGCATGCCACTTGAGGAGATGAAAAGAAAATATTGCCCATCGCGCGGCGCACGAGGCGTGATGCTGCCTCTCAGATGCTGCCTTCAATCGCCGCATGATGTTGTTGTCGAAAATCTGGATGATGTCTTTTTCACCAGGATCAAGACTTGCACATCTGGCTCGCAGTTTTGAGATTCTGGGTTTGTGCGAAGAACATTCTCAGGTTTTCATTCGCAGATTCCAATCACGGCCATATTAGACTCGACATTGTCCGCAAGTGTCCTGGTATCGATAGGCATGGGATGAGCACTTCTTTTCTTTTTTTGGGGGGGGCGGGAGGGGCTTTTAAGCAGGGCGGAATGTGATTGGCTGATTGTAAACGAGCCTTCAATGACCTTTTCTCTTTCAGCGAGCAGAAAGGGGAGGGATGAGCAGTTGATAATAATAATAATAGTAATAATGATGGCTCCAGTGTGTACTTGGACAAGGACAGCATGCGTAGCCCCCAGATGTGTTCTAAAAAAACAGCTCACCAGTGATAGGACGCTGTGACTACCTCAGAAGAATTAAAACAAAAGAAAAATGTCAACATTTATTTTTTCTCACTGAACATGACCAAATATTCAATATTTTGCTGTCATTTTAACACGGTGACCGTTCAGTCCGAATCTAATATCGGCTCATGCCTACTGGCGACCAGTCCCGAGTGTGCCCTGAGCTCTCACGTTCGGTTTAGGCTCCAGCTCACCCGCGACCCGAATGAGGATGAGCGCCATGGGAAACGGCTGACAATGTTGCCGGCACACACGATCCGTAGGTGGCGCTCACGTGTCTCCTCGGCAGCGAAGTGACTTCATCTCACTTTCAGTCTGTGGAAACAACCTCACCGGATGGAAACTTTGGGGAAAAATAAGTCCTCCGGAAAAACCGTCAGCTTTTTTTTGGCGTTCACGCACACATTCGTCCATCTACGTCGAGGCGCATGGCCAGCAGAGCGTTTCGTGGATTAGTCACCAACACCCTGACAAAGATGGTGTCTTTTGCAACGGAAAAGCCTCTCGAAACACACCCGCACACTCTCAAGCAGCTGCATCAACTCGTTTTGCTCCGCACTTGAGTGACTCAAACAGGCTTCAGGTGAGCAATTCAAAAGCAGCATGGAGGCGCGCTAATTAAATCAACCGTCGCGCTGGAGGAAATTATCCAATTTCCCTTTAATTGGCCCCGAAATTATTTTTCCATTTAGGACAAAGAATGTATCTCCGTTTGACCGTCGTCTATGCCAACGACGTACGGTGACAGGAGGAATCGTTTCAATGTTTGGCAAATGCAATCGAGCGCCTGTTGCCACTCACGCAAACAGAAGAAGTCAGAGCGAAGCCGAAGTGTATCAACAGGCACCGATTTTCACCGTGTGCAAAATAAGACCAGCTCATCAATATTTCAGCCCGCAGCTGCAAATAATGTACACCCGCGGCAATTAGACGCCGCTCCAGAAAGGATCATTTTGCCGACAGATGCCACGAGATGAAGATGAAGTTCCTTAAATCCTTTTCAACTCATTTCTTGGCATCAACATACCACAAGGTAGCAACGAAGCACTCTTTTTGTCTCAATGAAGCAGTTTAATGTAGTTCCTTGACACCGAGGTAAACACCGTACATGATTTTTGTGCCATTTTTGGTTGGTAATGTGACGTAAGATTTTTCGACAGGTGCCTTGGCCTCAGGTGATCAAAAAATGATCTCGCTGGCTTTTGAGTCACAGTGCACGAGGGCCAGAAAAGGAGACGATCGCACTTGGCAAGCCAGCAAAAAAAATCACGTTTTCATATTTTTGGTTTCCAAAACCGGCCGAATCTGTCAGAGACCAACAAGTGAGCTTTGGCAAGCATCGATCGACAAATCCCACCGCGCCTCAACGCCTCACTTTCGGGCACTCGTTACAGAAAGAGACATGTCACTTGGGGAACAACAAATATGTTGCTTGATGTCCTGCTACTGAGTCGTCTCCAGTGGCGAGAAACATCCACCTTCAGACTCTTATCACCAATGAGAACTCCGAAACAAACAAGGACGTCCACCACACATTCATCCATAAATTCAAGGCAACGAAAGAGACATGAAAGGACTCAAATGTCCAAAAGCACACATGCGGCTTGGCATGATACCAGCAAGAGGCAGCGTGAGAGCATCGTACGTGTGAGCTCAATGTCCACTTGTTTTTGACGACGACGGTGCAGACCCCTGCCTGTCAGAATGTATCAAATCGGATCGTTCTCATTCAACATTTCATCACACAATCCAACATGTCAACGCTCGCCGATGAGTCGTCAGTGATATTTACATTTCAAATACAGGCTCGGCGTATTCAAATTCGGCAATTCATCTGAACCGGAAGTTAGCCCACCAGCAGGGGGCGAATGCACAGTGAAGGCTTCATCAAGTTGTCTAAAAAACAAGCTAGTCGGAAGGCTCGTTGAGCATTTGCCAATTTGGCAGACTGGCGGCGTCCACCACGCTGGGCAGGCCGGCGCAGCAGAGGGAGGGACTTGGAGATGCACGTGGCTGCATCACAGTTCGGTGGCAGAAAGCCAATCGAAACCTCACGCTCATGCTGTGTCTAAAACCGGCGCAGGCTAGACAGCTGGTCTAATGATGCGCATTCCATTCATAAATATGTGAACAGCGGGCATCAAGCCTGAATCATTGTATTATATTTTTAAATCATCTCAATGGCTGGCACATCTATGGGTGGCCCACAAATGACTGAGGGCGTGCGTTCTCCAATTGCCCACTTTGTGCTTCCACCATGTCGAGATGCTAATGTGCGACTAGCAAACACAGCATTTGAAGGGAATGAAAGGAATCTCTTTGGTTGGCCATGATTGAAGTCGGCTCTGACCACTCCCACAGCGGCGCAGCCCTCGCACAGACCACATAAGGGAACGTTATAGGCCAAACAGCTCAGTGATGGGTTCAGAGAGCAACAGGTGAACAAATGCGACACATTCAATCCACTTGTGTTCAAATAGAAGTCTAAGCAGTGTCAATTATTTTGTGGCAAGCAAACTTGTGCCTCACTCGTTGCATGGTCCAGGTATTAGACTCACCCAATTCTCCAAATCAAGTGACTCCACGAACTTGGGTGCAAAGAAATGTGATTAGGACAGCCCTAGCTATAACTAAATACAAACTGAATGCAGACTGGGTGATTTTTATTGCAACACGCACACACTTAAGATGTGCTCACCGGAAGTGTGCGGTAGATCATCTCCAGTATGTTTCTGGGCCGTGCAAGCCACGATGAATAAAATATGTCGCTTCCATTATATAAGGCACAAATGCTCCAATGTGAGATGCTCGTTGTGTGTTCTAGCAGCTGTGACTGAGCTCCACATGCATGCAAGGCTCACTGTGTATGTGTGTGGCGGGAAAAGGCGGAGTAAAGGGGATGGATTGGGGTGGTGAAAAATCTCCTCCAGTATCCCCCTCCTCAGAGCAGGCCTAGCCAGCCTCAAATGTCGGACGTCAGAAGGCCCAAATAACGGCGCCGATCCGCTGCATCCGCAATGCCATCGACATGCGCGCTCCCGCACAATCGCGCACACGCACGTGCACAGGTAACCTCGCACGACGGTGTCAACATCTCAAGGTCAAACCGGGAGTGGGTGTTGCGGGTGGGGGATATGTTGACCTCACTCCCTGGGACCAGACAAAGAGCCAAACAGGACCGAGGCTCGCCGTCGGCCGCCCCCCGACTGAGGCTCGCCGTCGGCCTGCTGCACGGAGCTGGCCGGGCCGGTGCCTGCCTGACAAACATCTGGATGGGAGGAGCGGGCGGGCGGGCGGTGGAGGAGGGGCAGGAGGAAGGAGTCGGGAGTAGGAGGAGGGGGGGGGTGCTAACAATTAAATTCCGTTAGTGTCGGTGCGGATGGCGATGAGATAAGAGAGCACCGGGCTTTGGATGAGGGTGGGGTTGCTGAGGGGTGGTCTTACCCTCTGACAGCTCCAGCTCCAACTCGGCCAGGCGGGCTCGGATCTCCAACGGTATCGGCGACGCCTCTCGGTCCGCCATTCCGCCTCGTATCGCGGTGAAAACACCTTCAGCCTCCTCCTCCGGCTTCCTCCTCTTCGTCGCTTCCCTCCTCGGCGAAAGGCGCGCGCGACGACCAGCGAGGAGAACAAAGAAAGGGGGCTGCAAAGTCTCGCCTCTTAGCGGGGGTCCGTCATGGCGTCCGCCGACCTCGAATGGCTCAAGTCCGTCGCGGCGCAGTGGCTGGGGCTCGGGTGGTCGCGCTCCTCGCGGTGGGGATGGGGAGGATGAGGATGAGGACGAGGAGGCTCGCCGAGCTTTGCTGCCGCTTTGCTTGGATTTCAATGGGGTCACGTGACGACGACGACGACGAGGCACAGGAGGGGATGCGGCGTCGCTCGTCACCGGGAGGGGGCGCTGCAGGCAACCACACCTAGTCAACAGTGACGTGGATATCGCCATGTGGACAGACTACAGAGGTTTTGAAACTTTTTAGAGCAAGTGGCACCAGAATTAATTATTCGCTCTCCGTTTATACCACAAACATGATCAACAATAAAAAAAAAAGCTTTTAATTCCAAAGAAGTGTGTTTCATCTACAATCTTTAACCAATGTAACACAGTGCAGTTTTAACATTAACTCTACGCTTAAATAAAGGGCAAACACTTCACTTACACGATTCAATTGAAGACTAATTTACTGCTATCGACGGCAGTTGTCAAGCCGTGTTTGTTTGGCAACGTCAATCGAGCAGTGTAATGGAGTGGCTTCGTGATGAAATGCTGCATCCAGCGGTGATGATCCACTGAACTCTCAATGGATGATAGCTTTAAGTGAGATAACAGTGTTGGCATCTGATGAACGACTAGATTGGGCCGTGAAATTTAGGGCGGGTCACGAACCTGTTTGTGTTTTGAGGATGTCGTGATTGCCTGGGGTGCTTGCCAATAGCACAAGGAGAAAAGCAGGCGGCCTGCTTTTCAAACTAACGTTAAGTCGGACCATTGCAATAAATATTCTGGAAACACGACCATTCCTGATCCTTGAGGGATTTGGACCAAATGTTGTGAGGACACCTGGGAACCGTTTTTAATATGGTTAGAAAATGCACATGTCTCAAGCTCCCGATGTGTAATATTCCTGATGTTTTTCATGACAGATGGTCGTTTACGTTGTCATTCCTGATGATTCTTGTGGTGGAACTCACCTGCCCCCTACTGGCCACCAAGTCGTACTGCAGCAATACTGGCTTGACCCACATAAAAAAATGCATTATTTTTTTACATCTTACCAGCAGCACGGACAAGCCAAACATTTCATCATCGAAAAGGCACTTGTTTAATATTTCTCAGTATTATATACAACTTTACAAACAGACAACGTACCTGGTTCACATGTAAAATCAGGAACAAAAGGGAACTCGGCAGTCAAAACAAATCAAGTAAACTGAGGAATCGGTGCTTTTGATGAGGACTCAAATGTTTACCTCGATGGAACAGTCAGATATCACAAATAAAAACAAACACGTGACCATCTAGCCTTGGCAATTTTGCTTGTGCATACAGTCAGGCAGTAATGCTTTCAGTGACAAAAATATATTTCTGAGAGGGGAAAGAAAATGCAAAATAAGCAACTGAGATAATTTAGTTGCCAAAGTGTGCGGACCCTCATAAATGGGAGTGTACCTCTGCTCAGAATTAACCAATCACATTCAAACTTATGTTAGAAGAAAAAAATGGCCACCAGAAAGCCCGACGGGTTCAATGAAATTAAAAGTGATGAAACACATGCAGAAAAACAAAACCTGATCGTGATTTGTGGAAAATCTCACCCGTCACAAAATGTGAGTGAGAAGGAAACACAAACTAGCAACGAGAAAAGGAACAGATGTGAAAACCGCCACCAGGTGCACGAGGAAATCCACCAGGTGCACGTTGACATTCCACTTCAAGTGTTTTCCGAAATCTACTTCTCTTCAACGGGAGGTGCGGGCCTACCAGAAGATTTCTGGCAGATGGCAGCGTAGCTCAGCTTCTGGGTCGCCTGCTCAATCACAAGTCGGTATCACGATTGGCCAATAATCCACCTTTGATTGATCATGTTTTACCTCATGAGCGATGTCGTCGGCAGCGGTGGTGGTCAAAGGTTGAGCCGGTTCGGGCGTCTTCTCCACGCCGAGGGGAGGAAAGTCGGAGGCTTCGAGCTGGATGGGTGATGACTGGCGAGGAGTTGCCGATTTTGTCTAGACAGACGCACGCTGTCAAAGCTGCAATGGCAAACCAAGCCAGAAAACAAAAAACAAAAAAAAAAGAGTCCGATCGTACTTACATGATGCACGCCAGCTGTCTTGAGAGCAGCCCACAGCTTCTTTCTCCTTCTCTGATCGTCATTTACAGACCTGCAGATCAGGGCAGTGACGTCAAACTCACTCCACACCCTCGCCCTCCGCAAAAAGTAATTCACTGCTGCATTTTATATTCCGCTTCATTTTATTTTATTTTTTTACCTTCCTCCGTCCCCCCCGGTCAGCCTATCGTAGCATCTGCTGTGACGAGGCGGCCTGTTGCCTCTTGAATGGGACCACCCCCGAGCCGGCCTCGAGGCGGTGAACGTTTCCACCGAGGATTTCCCCGCCAGGTCGTCAGAATTCTTTTGACTATGGATTTGATACCAGCCCGATGTCCTGGTGCCATTCCTGCGTGACGGCGACCGCAATTAACGACGTCGAGTGTATGAAAAGGCGAAGCGTGACTTTTTCGTGCGACGTACCTTTTTCTGCGCGCGACGTGGTGTTGGAAGTAAGGGGACGCTTGCAAGCCATTCAGGGCGACGCTGAGCTCAAGCGACTGCGGACAAAAATGAGGAAAAGTTCTCAGTGGTGTGACGAAAAAGAGAAGGAAAGTTTCCCGAGGCGACTCACCTCAGCGCCGTCGGAGTATCCGGAATCAGACCACACGGGGTAGGTGAAATCGTAAAGCTGCTGGTAAGCGTCCGGGGGCAAATAAGACGGCTCCACGTTGGGGCAAAAGCCGTTTCCAGGTATGTGGGATGTGGGGGTTGTTGATTTGGCTTTCATCCTCACCTTGATGGGTTTCCCCTGGAAAACCCGAACTTCCTCTCGCAGGTACATGTAGGCCTGAGGACATGCACAAAAAGTGGTACGTTTAATCAGGACGCGGGCCATTAACAGCTTTTAACGACTCATTACATTTTATTTGGACAGCCTGTAACTCAGTCTTCATTTTTGGTCAAAGAAAAAAATTTTCGGACCCGTATTTAATCCAGCTGTCACATTTAGCACTGCAAGTACAATTAAAACATCGTCAAAAAACTACAACATAAGACACTTCAAACGATGAGTCATGAGAGTTTGCTTCCATTTTGCATCCTGTTTTGTCCCGCCCTACATGGAATCCTCTCGCATGATCAGCCACAAACTCGCCATGCCGTGACAGCTGTCAATCACCTGGTAGGCGTCGGCCTCAGATCCGAAGGTGACGAACCAGTAGTCGCCGCTCACAACCTCGCAGCTCAGGAACTTGGGCAGCTTCTTGTCACTGAAGAGCGCTTCCACCTCCTGCGGGGGGGGGGGATCGGATGAGGGTGAGGATGAAGAGGAGTCGGACAGGTCTTTCCTCGCGAGGCGTACTGCTGGGGATCTCCCGCAGGATGAGGACATATCGGCTGTGGTTGGCTCGCACTTTGTGCCCGCAAGGTGACATCTGGACCTGCGGCACAGCTGAGGAGCAACGAGATGGTCTGAGTGGCCCACGTTGAGAAGGATTAGCCTACGTCACCAGCACTGACTTTTAACGACGTCTGTGACGAGCTGCAAGTCGGCACCGAGACATTTGATGGCATGGAGGCCGGCCAGCGCCGCGATGGGAACATATTGGTCGTCCTCCATTCGTGACTGCAGGTACAAGTCATTGGCCAGGTACTCCCTGGTAAGAAACACAGGAACTGGTGCAAACATTGACTTGATTCAAAGAGCGGAAGTTTGAGTCTCTTAAGGCTTGGGCCTCGCTGTGCCTGAAAATAAAATTACATTTTCGGTTTGATATTTTTCCTCTTTGCATCGAGAAAAAGCTAATGAAAATGGGATTACTTCATTTTGTATTTTAGGATTTCCCCTGATATCAAACTAGGATTTCTTTCTTTCCAGACACTGTGGAAACAGTGACGCTCCCATCACGATCGGTTGCCGATTTCCGTGGAAAAGTACGTGATCGGCATATGTCGATCGGTGCTCATTGCCGATCACAAAAAAAAAAAAAAAAAAACCCGCTCACACGATGACTGCTTTATGTCTCATTGAAGAGAAACGTTCTCACCTACTCAGACAATAGTCCAGCGTAGACCTCAGCTGTTGCATTAGCTCACCTGAAAGGACACAAAGCCGTTGAGCGCAGGTGACAAAGTGGACCTGCACAGACAAGGGTGCAGCATGGGTTCGGGTTACCTGAGTCTGGTTCTGGTAGGACGTGGTTTTCTGTTGCTTTGGGTTGGGCTTCAACCTCAGTCACGCCCACGCCGATGTCGGCGAGCTCCGTGTGCAGCGCGTGGTCTTCGCGCCAACCATTTGATAAGTCAGCGCCACCAAAATGAATTCAATCCAAAATAAACTCTTACATCTAATAAAAGAAGAAAAAAAAAAGAAGAAGCAGCTCACTTTGTAGGTCCACCTGCCCGTTGGGAAGGTACAGCCAAGGCTGTCGAGCCTGCGGAAGGTCGTAGTTGGATCCGGTCCACACCTCGGCGTCAGGGTTGAGGGTCTGCAACGATCCAAGCGGCTGAAAGCAGCACAAACGAGCGTCTTCGACATCCACGTCGCGCGGCATCGTGACAAAAGCCCAACGGAGAAGGAGCAACACTTACGGCCTGGGGGCGGCCTGTGTGCCAGGCCCACTCGCACGGGATCAGCGGCAAGACAGGATCGCACGGGAACGCTCCCAGCAGAACCGGGCCGGGCTGCTGCAGCTCCGCGACCATCTCATCCGGGCTCTGCGGCGCCCCCTGGACCCATGCCTGGCAGCGGTCCTCTACGGCGGGCCCGATCCAGGTCTGGTGGTTCACGTGGCACACCGAGACGTCGGCGTCCCCTCCAAGCAGCTCTAGCACCAACTCCCGCATGCCGCTCTCGCCCTCCTCGCCTGGCGCCTCCTGACCCAGGAAGTGGATCTCGTAAGATGGCGTCAGAGCGTGAACGTCCAGCTGGTCGAACTCCACCTGGACGCCGAGGTCCTGCAGATGACATGAAACCTCATCTGGACGGCACACGTTGACCATTTCGGTGTCGGAAGAAGCACACGGCGGAGTTTTTGGATGCTCCTCCTGAGGCAAGGGGACTGTTTCCTTTTCATCCCGCAGAGATCCATTTGTTGGTTCTGGAGGATCGCTCGGACACTCTGCCGTCTCTTCCTCTTCCTCACACACTTCCCGTGAAGATTCCAGGCGGTTACCGCTTATCTTCTCGACTGAAGAGGAGCTCGAATGAAGACAATTTAGATTCGTGTGCACCGCTTTGGAATCCGACTCATGATATCTTGTCGAACTTGCGTCCTGCTCGGAGAACGCAGCCAAACCGACTTTCGTGCTCATGTCTTCATTAACTCGCCCTGTCCCTTCTCCATTTCCGCACTGGTGGGGTGAAGTTGAGAGGATGCTGGGAAAAGACACTTGTGTATGTGTCAGGTTGCTGTGGATTAGTTCGTCTTCTTCATTTGTACGCTCGGGAGCGTCATCTTCTTCTGGCTGCACTGAACGCGTGTCTTGGCCCTCGTCGTGCTGCTCCACGACATTCGATTCTAGACTGCAGCTCGGACGGGAATGAGGGACTTCTTTGAGATTTTCACCAGCCTGTTGTGAATGTTGGACGCGGTCTAGATGGTTCTCCTGGAAGGTGGAAGTTTTTTCCTGTGATGTTTGAAGCTCTGAAGACGCACTCTGCTCCCGAAGCGTCATCCGGTCACACGAGTCTTCTTCATCCGTGAGTCCAAGACATTCGACACTTTCACTCTCAGGGACATTGTCTTTTCTCCGCGATGAACATTTCTCTTCTCCTTCAATTTGCGGCTCTGCGATGTCAGGTTCCGGACAGGAGTGGAATTCTTTGGGACTATCAATACCTGGCTGTGAATGTTGGACGTGGTCGACTTGGTTTTCCCGCAAGATGGCGGGCGTTTCCTTCGAGGTGTGGCTCAATGAGGGCTCCTTCTCCGTCAGCGTTGTCTGGTCGCACAAGTCGTCTTCATTATCTAGTCCGGGAGTTTTCAACTCTACCACACTGGTTAAGAAGACTGGGAGGGAGGTCAGTTGTGTGAGAGTTGCGTTTTTGTGGATGACCTTGTCTTCCTCGCTTTTATTTGCGGGGACACCATCTTCTCTCAGGAGTGAACTTTGATCTTCTTCCTCGCTTTGTTGCTCTGTAATGTCAAGTTCCGGAAAGGAACGTACTTCTTTGGGACTTTCACTTGCCGGTTCTGAGCGCTGGATGTGGTCGAGTTGAATTTCCTTTGAGGTTTGGATTGAAGACACGCTCTGCTCGGTCAGCATCAGCTGGTCAAATGTTTGCACACACGAGTCACCTTCTGCTTTTGAAGGCTCGTTGCCTTCAGGCATTCCTCTCGGAATGTGCGGGTCGACTTGAAGTTCTGGAATTATTCCTGAAGTGCCGGTCAGTGGTGCTGAGTTCAAGGGCTGGTTGAGCAGAGGCGAGGCTGTCTGTGACGGGCTGGAACCAGCACATGTTCCAGATGCTCGGGCCTGGCTGTGGTCGTCATGGTCAAGGTCGTTTGTGTCGATGGAGCAGATGCTGTAGAACCTCTGAGTCCTCGTTTGGAGGTCCTGACCCAGTGTTGTTGTGACAATACAGTCCTCACCTATGAGGGAAACCCGATCCTGATGCGAGACTGATGACAACGTCAGGTCACGTGGCACCTTGCTACAACTGTCGCCCCTTGTTCCACTGGAACCGGACCGGTAACCTTCTGGGTGGAGGAGCTTCTGACCCTCAAGGTTTTGAGTGAACCACTGGGCTCGGCGTGTCGCGTTTGCCACAATGTTTTGTCGGGTCAGACTCTGGGACAGCACCTCCATATAGGGGGCCGGCTCACAGTTGCGCGAGGGGGAGAGGGTCACGCCTGCCGATGAGTCCGGGATAACGCTTGCGCCGGCCGGGATAAGAATAGCTCGCTCGTCCTTGTGAGAGCTCGGAGCTTGGACAGTCTTCTCACTGACGACCATCCGCGCTTGGCAATCAAGTCCTGGACGAACTTCCGCGCGGGCCGCTCCAGCGTCTTCTTCTTCATCCAGAGAAACATGTTGAGCCACGGCCACGGCCTGGTGCCTCACTTGTTCCATGCTGTTATGGACGCGGTCCTGGTGAGGGGTGTGCAGTAAGCTGCTTTTCTCGCTGTTCTGGTCCGGCCCAGCCTCCTTACTGAAGCAGCAGCCCATCCTGCCAGAGGGTACAATTCAACGAAAGAACACGCGGAAATGAGAAGGTCCTCGCATAGGCTTACTCACATGCGGAAAGACAAGAGCTTCTACTCCCCACCGGCCTCACTCCCCTAACCCCCTCCCTTACCAGGAATAGCACATGTGAAGGGGTTCATATGTCGCTGCCACTCAACACAACACTGCGTGTGACTGAGTGTGTGCGTATGTGTGCCCCTTAGAGGCTTCAGTGGGTCGGGTCAGCACATGGTCCAGTGGCCCCCAATCACAGTGCGGGACTCCCCCTCCCACTCATCCCACTATTGAACTCTTGTGCTCTCCCGCTGTTTCTTTCTCTTTCACTTACAACAACTCAGCCCTGGCCGCTTTTGCCCCTCCCTGGCGGAACATGTACATTATTGCTTCTATGGGACTATAGGATGAAAGTTACCCCCTGAAAGGTCACGTGAGCAAAAAGTTTAGAGGTCAAATGAAGTTCAGCTGTTAAAGTTATATTGCATCTTATGCTCATCCTGAAGCTTCCTCACGGTAGCTGAACTTTTTGCTGATCACGTCCTGCAATTGAGGACTGTACACTAAACGCGATCAAAATCAGTAAAGATATCTATCATTCATCATGCAGTCCATTTGGACTACAGTTCAAACATAGTGTCACCTCAGCAGCTCATTGCACGACATGTGCATGTGTATATTGTGTCTAATCAAGTTATTTTTTTTTCTCCGCCAATAACAATATTTGCCCTTTATACTTCAAAGTACATTGTGTACCAATTGCTTAAAATCGCATACCATCGATTCTATACATACTCAAAATGTATACAAAATCAAAGGTTAGTGGACTATTCTAAGATAACGTGAAGCCAAATTTCGCTGAATCACTTGTACAAAAACACATTTCCAACTCAAAAGTTCACCCGCTCAACCTCTTAGCCTAGCGAGTTAGCCTAGCTAGCGGGCTTGCAAGTGTTAGCCTAGCTAGCGGACTTGCAAGTAAGCGTGCTAACGAGAGCCACGCCTAGCGAGTTAGCCTAGCTAGCGGGCTTGCAAGTAAGCGTGCTAACGAGAGCCATGAGCTAAAGTTGTTGCGTTCGCTAAACACAAAGTACATTAACTCAAATTTAAACTTCAAATAATTACAATATTATAATTTCATGTGTTGTCAAAGAAGGAAAATAGTACAGCAGATCAAACTGTACAAACGGGGACTCACTGAAAGTTGTGCTCGGTGAGCTCAGTGTCCAAAACTGACGTAGGGGGCGCGTGAACCGCGCGCCATTTTGGCTTTTTATTGCACCTACGCAGTAATGGTCTTGAGTTGCTATGGCAACAGCGCACTTCCTGCTTTACGTGACAGACGCGAAGTAGATAAAATAGATTCAAGTCGCAACTCAACCAGTCAACGACGCCTTGTATGTGTTTTTTTGAATAAAGAATATAATAAAAAGACAAGAGCTTGAGGTGGGTGAAATCACATTTTTGATCAATTAATGCAACCATCCAAAAGGTCTGCCGTGCAATTTCTTGCAACAGAAGATGACTTGAAGCTTACGAAATTAATATACAGTAGACAGTTAAAAAAAACGGAAGAGAAGAGCTGTCTTCAGAAAGAAGTTGTAGACGTTTAAATGAGTCTTTGACTCCATTATTTCCTTTACCATGAAGTGATGACCGCAAACAATCACTCTGAGTGACTCCAACGATGAACAGCATTTGCTGTTTTAAAGTAAGTAAGAACGTTTATTCTGCAAAACCCAGACCCATTGTGAATATTTTGAAAAGGGCTCATATCAGCCGACTGGTGTCTCAGGAATAGAGGCTCCAGTAGATGGTGTTGAAGAGGAGATAGGACAGCGGGAAGGCCAGGCGGGAGTACGAGTCGATCATGTAGCTGTTGCTGACCAAGAGGTCCACGTTCTCGCGCACGGACCGCTGCCGGCGTAGGCGCGTCCCCTCCGATGGCCGCGGGTCGCGCTGGGGCGACGGGGTCGGCGGGGGCTCGGAGGCCAGCCCCTGGGCCGCACGGGGGAACGGCGTCAGCTCCATATCGTTGTCGTGGAAGCAGCCGTCAAAGGCCATGGCCTGGCTAGCGTTGAAGGTGGACGGCAGCTGGGAGGACACCAAAAGCAACTGAGGCAACGCTTGTCCACTCGAGGGAGCTGCTTCCCTTTTTTTTTTTTGCTCACCTTCCCCCTCCTCATCTTCCTCATCTCCTCCAGGGTGGTGCAGTAGTTCACCGCCGCGTACTCGATGACAGACAGGAAAACAAAGAGGAAGCTGGTCCACAGGTAGATGTCCACTGCCTTCACGTACGACACCTGCGAGCGACGCACATCAATCAGTACGTCTTTCTTTTTCGCACAAGCGTGAGTACTTGTACTTAAGTCGCCTGTGTGAGTACTCAGCTGGTGAAGGCAGGTGGTACCTGAGGCATGGAGGAGGACACTCCTGTGATGATGGTGGACATGGTTAGCACGGTGGTCATACCTGCAGGGGGGACATGGGAAGTTGAGAACGTGCGCGTGGGATGGTCAAAAGTATCGGGTCACATCGCAGCACGATTCAATCAGATATGTGGCTTGCACTTCATTCAGATGTTTTTTTTTTCTCTCTGAAAATTGGTTGGTGAAAATATCTTTATTCATCTATTTTTAAATATGTATTTTCATTCATTTTATTGATATATTTATTGTAAGTATTAAAATCAAAAATATTTTTAAAAAATTACACAAACAGTGCATTTACATTTGATTTTATAAAATTAGTGTTGATTACATTTATTTTTAAAAACCCAATAAAGCAATTACAATCAGCGATCTTTTTTTTAAATCAGACAATGTGACATCATCATCATTTACTTTATAAAGTTAACAATTTTTTGCTGCAGTAGTAGCGTCAACGTATCCTTTTTCTCCTTAAAATGTATTCAATTAAAAACGATTTGTAATTATTTGACCTGCAGGGGGGACATGGGAAGTTGAGAACGTGCGCATGGGAAATATTTTTCACTTCCTTCATTTGTTTATTTTCAAGATCAAATGTTGCGCCGGGGAGGGGGCAGTCGCCGACATGTATGTGCGTGTATGTTTGCGTGCGCACCCAGAGAGACGCGGGCCGGGACGGCTCTGCGGTCGATCCAGAAGGAGACCCAGGACAGGACCACCATCAGCATGGTGGGGAAGTACGTCTGCAGCATGAAGAAGAAGATGTGCCGCCGCAGGATGAAGTTGATGAGCAGCCGGTTGTACCAACCTGACACAAGCGCACACAAATACACAAACGCGCACGCAAACTATTGAAATGCCAAGTCGTTGTGATTTCAAAACCTTTCCCACTGTGACGGTGAGCCATAACCTGTACAACGCAATTGAAAAAAAAAAAATAGTATGCAACTGAAATTATGTGTTTGCACAAGTGTGCACACCCTCATATATTCAAAGAAAACTAAAACTAATCCTAAAACAATGAAAGTTTTAAAAAAGCTAAAAAAAATAGCAACGTAACCACATTGAAACGCATGTTCAACGGGAGTCAGCACACACCCATCTCTGAGCAACCCCAAATAAACTTCAGCTGTTCTAGTCGGCTTTCATGACATTTGAGTGTTTCACTTTTTATCGGCGCTGTAGTTGTGCTACAATCGTTTGCCTAGCGTTGCTGAATTGCCTCATTAGTGAGGACAAGAGTGTACTAGTACACGGAAATGAAGCTGGACATCAAGGACATGGAAAAACTTTACTCCGCACTGCCACATACCTGTGCTGCTGTAGAAGGCCAAGCCACTGGACGGGTGGAAATGCTCAATGAAGAACTGAGACAAAACAATCTCATCCGTCCTCAGGGAGTCGTTGCCGTTTTTCCAGTAGAGCATCAGATCATTCTCGTTGTACGCGTCTGAGGACAAAATATTCCTTGTCAATCCGTTATATTTGTACCGCGATCAACTGCGTGTGTGTGTGCGTGTGTGCCTCACAGCTCTCCAGTTCCAGTGAGCAGTTCTGCGTGTCTAAAGGGAAGCTGCTGAAGTCCATGGAGCAAAGAGACGTGACGGTCACCCTGAAAGCAACACAAAGCTCTTCAGCAGCCAGACAGCATCCATCTTGTCCCAGATTGACCTTTCTGCTCATGTTGCCATGGCGAGCTGGCAGCAGCAAGTCAAGGTTTTTTTCTCAGAGCATCTTGGCGGCCCACCTGACGCTGTAGAGGATGTTCCCGTCGGGGTACACGCGTAGCATGATGTTCTCCATGGTGGTATCGTGGATAAAGGAACGCTTGGAGTGCGCAAAGAAGACATCTGGGACCCAGATCTTCTTGACCAACCGCGAGTCGAACGTCCTGCTCTGGTTGTTGTGCGACGGGAATGCCAGACGCTCGTCCTTCCAATAGTGACGCAGGTACAAGGTCATGGTGAAGTCCTGCGGACACGTCCGTGTGAGCGCCGGTGCCATTTTAGTCGATCGCAAGTGTATTCTACTTTTGGTATTTTCATACACGGGCACAGTTCGGAATGGCCGTTTGCGCCGTTGTGGGAGTGGAAACTCCTGCATTGCCTTTAAAATCAGAGCAGGTGAGGTCCTCTGTCTACATGATGGAACATTAGTAATGAAACAATAATAAGAATAATAATAATAACAATTGAACATATTATATAATAATTGAAACTGACTCACCATGTTGACTTCGGAGATGCTGTCAATGCTCTCCACCTGCACGTCGATGCCCACGGGGATGGCCGCTCCTGCCAGTCACAAAGTTTCAACGATATCAGGACCTCTTCCGAAAGTTTTTTTTTTTCCAACTTTAGCCAAACGTAGCATCCCTCACAACATTTTTGGAAACTGACATTTGTCCTGTCTTCCAAATTGCCTTGTCAAAAGGCGCAGCCATCTGCTGCCGCCAGGAAGTAAATGTGTCGTCATGGCGAAAATCCCCATGACATGTTTGTCACGGTGCTTGTCGTCGGTGCTGTTGCGGTCGTGAAAGTTCTGTCATGAAACAACAATGTTGCAGTGAGCTTGTTTTTTTTTTTTTTTGAACCACATCCACGGAGGTGCGCCAAATGTTGGCGACTGAGAAATGTTCAGTCATGAAACAACAACATTGCAATGACCAGGCTTTTTTTTTTTTTTTTTTTTTTTTTAACCACGTCTGCGGGCTGTCTGTGATAAGCTGTGGTTTGGGTTGCTCACTGACCTCGGTCTGCTTGGGGTTACGTGTGTGTGTGTGTGTGTGTGTGCGCGCGCGCGCGCGTGTTCCATTGTGTGCCAGAGAGTGTGTTAATTCCACCTGAGCGTCAGCACGACAGCAGCTCAATAAACACTTTATCTAATGAAGCTCGGCAAAGCTCC